AGAACCCCTCACTGTGCTTTGCAGAAGGCGGTGAGTGCCGGCCATGGAGCTGCTGGCTTCGGCAATGTGACTGTCCCTTCGCGAGCAGCTTCCGCCCCACCTTGCGGGTGTCCTGAGAGCCTGGGCCGCCTGCACGCCCTTCGGCGTGTGTGGGAGGCCACGGTCTTGGGCACAGTCGTGTTTCTGCTATTAAAGCCTCACCATGCTGCTTAGAGTTATTAACAGCCGTTGCAAACGTAACAGTCTATCCGTTAAGACGAGCCTGGCTTTCATCGTTATGGTCTTTTTAATTACACTAACCCTTTGGCATATTCGTGATGACGACGAGCGTGGTGGGCTGTCGCTCCGCCGTAAGCAACCATCTCTCCAGAATGTCCTCAGGTAGGTATGTGGGCTCGGGCTCTTCAGGATCTCTGACAGAACGCTCCCAGGCTCCCCGCCCAGGGTCCCCTGCAGGGCCCTGGATAGCCTACTTGGTGCTGGGGTCAGAGAGATCGCTGCCCTCCCAGACAGGTGGCTGGGCCCGCCCCCACGTCCTCCTCCGACACCAGAAGGTGCTGCTTGCCTGAGCGCTCCCCAGGGGCCCTGCACTCCAGGGCTTCCTGTGCTTCTGTGAACCTTCTGTACAGAAAACCCTGACCCAACCGAGCAGGACCTCCCAACTCGAATGCCCATACTGTCCGACACTGCACCAAACCCCTAAACCCGAATCAGCCGCGCTCCAGTGGCTCTGGTAGTGCGCACGGGGGCAGGCCGGGGGCTTTGTGCCTTCACCACTGGCTGGCATATCCAGCAAGCAGCAGTGGTTATTTTGGACGGTGGCTTTTGGAGGATTCAGTGCACGGTTGCCAGGCCCAGTGGCAGGATGGGCCTGGTAGCGTAGAGCTGCCCACCTCCTGGTAGCTGGAAACAGAAGGGAAGGGGCCTGGCTCACCAGCCCTGCTCTCAGCCCGCAGGCTTGAGTCGGGTGAGCCCAGCGCCCCAGGCGGTGACTCCCCCGGTGGGACTTGGGCCCAGCCCTGTGCCACGCTCAGGCACATCCACCAGTTTTTTCTGAAAAGAGTCCTTGCTTCTGCCTCAGGGGTTCCAGCTGGACTGACAGGACACTCAAACCGCACGGCAGCCTGCTGGCCTGCAGGGAGAGGGTGACAGCCACTTCCGGGGCCTGGGCAGCCCGAGGGTGTGGGGAGGTGGTGGCCAGACAGGCGGCTTCCCAGCGAGAGCTAGAGAAGGAGCAGAATGTGGTGGCAGTAGAGAGAGCAGAGGGGCCACCTGCGCCCCATGAGTAGCACCTCGAACACGTGTGTGCTTTCCCCAAAGTGTCCCCCAGATCCCACAGTCTTATGTCCTTTCCTGGGGTGCCTTTCACTGTAGCACTTCCTTCCCCTCAAAGTGAACACTTGGCATTAATTGATTATGGATTAAGTTGGGACCAGGGCAGCCTTGGGGCCTGGGCTCATGTTGAGATTAATTTATTCCTGTGGTCCTCCTGGCTCAGGATGTACCTGCCTGCTCACAGGAGTTGAAAATAAAGCCGAGCACCGGGGCAATCTAATTAGATGGCTTAACCCACACACTCCTGTTCCATCTCCGCCAAACTCTCCTGCTTTGATGGTAACCAAAACAGAAGAATAAGTTAATCAGAGGTCTGATTAAATAGCACAGCTCTGCCGTGCACACCGCTGATTGCCAGGCTTCTGTCCAGGCAGCCTCGGGAGGGAGAGCGGAGCCTAGACCAGGGCCAGGCCTGCGGGAGGCAGAGTGGTGTGAGGCGCGGCCTTCTCAGACCTTGGGGGGCGGCTGGCCAGGAATCATTCCCCCAGATGGGTGTCGGGGCTTGGGAACAGGCGTGACGACCACTGTGAACCTGCTCCAGCTCTGGCTACACACAGCGCGCTCTCCCCAGTGTGCGCCTGCCCCTGGTACATGGTCCATGTGGGCTCTGCCGTGGCCGAAAGCGTTCAGTTCGTCCGTGTTAGTGGCATCACTCTGCTGGTGGGGTCAGGCTGGTCCGGCGGGTCCTGCCCACCCTCTGTGCCCCTGAGGGTGATGGGTAAAGGGCCTGCCACCTTTCTTCTGCCTCCTGGAAAGGTGCTGCAGCTTCCAGTCCTGCCCTGCATTGCCAGGGTGGCCCCTGTGTCTGTACTCTGGACCCCACAGTGGCTGTTTGGCCTTGCAGTCTTCAGCATGCCCTCTGTTTTGTCCCTCCCTCATTCTGCATACAGACTGGCAAGGCTTCCTGTCCCTGAGCATCCCCTGTGCCCTGGTGGGACAGGGGCTCTGTGAAGGAGCCACCCCTTGCCCATGCCAGGAGCTCAGAGAGGCTGAGAAGCCTGTCCAAAGTAAGGCAGTGAGGATACCCAAGTGCCAGGACAAAGGGAGGGGGGCAGGTGCAGGGGGCGCAGTTGGGTTTCCCAGTGTCTGTCACAAAGCAGCATCCACTTGAGTCCCCCACTGCATGTGACACGGGTGCCACCTTGCTTACAGGCAGCGGAGGTTCTGATGGCTCTGCAGGCTGGACCAGGTGTGTCTCGTTTCCTGTCCTCCCTGCTGCCCAGGTGTGAGCTGGCTGGGACGACAGATGCGGGGGTCATTCTTGTCCTGGAGGTGGACACACAGTGAAGCGCTCAGCCCACCAGCGCTTCCTTTATTTCTGGTCAGAACTGTACTCATTTAAGCAAAGGGCCACTGCACCGCTGAGAACAGGAAGGAGCCGAAATGATGTTTCCATGTTGTCTGAGGAGCACCACCACTGTGGTTTCTAACTTGCTTTTTATTGTCATATACAGCGTTGTTTCACATTGCATCTTAATCTGTGCTGTTTGGAGCCGAGGCACCTGCACGGTGTGATGACCTTGGAGCACGTTCCAGTCGCCTGCTTGATCGGGGAGTGGGGGCTAGATGGTGGCTGCGTCTTTGCTTATATATCATGGTGATGAGTATCTCTGAGAGTAAGATGGGGGTTTTGTCTTTCAGTTTGATTTTTCTTAAAGAACATCGGCCTCTAGGTGGAGTATAAGTACAAAGGACATGTGTGAGTTTTCGGCTTCTTGAGTGTGGCCCCCATTCCTGTAAATAGAAAGGAGGTATGTGCTGTGGCTTCCGGGAGCCAGGGTCCTCCCTCCACATCCCGGCTTCCAAGGTGACCAGAGCACGGAGCTTCGTGTCCCTGAGAGGTCTGGTGTTCAGTCTTCTGCCCAGCTTCCCCGGGGCCCAAAGCACAGGCTTCCTGCTGACCCCAGCCACCTGTGGGGCCCGAAGC